CCAGGGATACACATAGAGAGACTACCAGAGAGAGAGAGAGAGAGAGAGAGAGAGAGAGAGAGAGAGAGAGAAAGGTGCACAAGGGCTGGAGAGAGGAGAGATGGCTCGGTGGTTAAGAACACTGCTCTTTCAGAGCAATCCAGGTTCAATTCTCAGCACCCACATGGCAGCTCACAACCATCTGTAACTCCAGTTCCAAGGATCTGAGGCCCTCTTCTGGCTTCTGAGGGCACCAGTCATGAACATGGTGCAGACATACATTCAGGCAAAACATTCATACACATAACTTGTTAAAAATTAAATTAAAAATAGCTCGGCGTTGGTGGCGCACGCATTTAATCCCAGCTCTTGGGAGGCAGAGGCAGGCGGATCTCTGCGAGTTCGAGGCCAGCCTGGTCTCCAGAGTGAGTGCCAGGATAGGCTCCAAAGCTACACAGAGAAACCCTGTCTCAACAAACCAAAAGAGAAAAATTTAAATTAAAAATAAATCTTTTTTAAGATTTTATTAATTATGTATACAACATTCTGCTTCTGTGTATAACTGCATACCAGAAGAGGGCACCAGATCTCATTATGGATGGTTGTGAGCCACCATGTGGTTGCTGGGAATTGAATTTAGGACCTCTGGAAGAGCAGTCAGTGCTCTTAACCTCTGAGCCATCTCTCCAGCCCTAAAAATAAATCTTTAAAAATCATGAAATGAGCACTCGCTTTGGCAGCACATATACTAAAATTGCAATGATAGAGAGAAGCTTAGCATGACCCATGCACAAGGATGACATGCTGATTTAAAAAGAAAAAAAAAAGAAAAAATTATGAAATGAGCTAGAAATGGCTTAATGGTTTAGAACCCTTGCTTGTTTTTGCAGAAGATCTGGGTTCAATTCCTAGCACCCACGTGGTGACTTTCAGCCATCTGTAACTTGAGTTCCAGAGGATCTGATGCCTTCTAGTAAAACTAGGCATGCAAGTGGTGCACAGACACAGACACAGGCAAAACAGCCACACATATCACCTGCCCTTCATACACTGTGGCTCTGTGCAAGGAAATCCTTCTGTAGAAAGGATCCACCAGGATTCCTGCTGGATGACAGCTGTCCAGACACAGAGGCAGCTTCTCCCCACTTCCCAAACTTGTTCTACTAGTCTCCAAGCAAGTGGGAAAGCTGCTGATCGCTGCTGAGTCACTACACTTGGAGGCCTCACTAAGGAACAGAATCTCAGCATGAACACAACCAACAGCCAGTGAGATGCTGTACAAGACAGGGGACCCCTGTACCCTCAGGCAGCACCACCATCCAAGGCAGGCTGCGATCTACGACCCTCTGGGAGCAGAGTCTCTCCAACTCAGCCAGACAACAGCAATATAAGACATAGCTGATAAAAAAAAAAAAAGCATATTTTGCATGATTGGACATCCTGTTGTATTTGTTCGTTATTTGCATGGGATCTTTTCCTATCCTTCAACTTTCAACATTTTTGTGCCCTCAGTTATGAAAAGAATGTTCTACATTCAACAGCTACTTGGGTTATTTCAATTGTCCTCCTTAGTATAGTGGTGACTACTTGGGTTATTTCAGATACAATCCCATTTGCCAGTTTTTGTGCTTTGATTAGGGTTGTCAGTTCATCCATAGTCAAGGAAATCACTGAAAGCTGGGTGTAGAGGTGCACTCAGGAGGCAAGTGGATCTCTGTGAGTTCAAGGCCAGCCTGGTCTACATATCAAATTCTAGGCCAGCTAGAGCCACATGGTTAAACCTTGTGTCAAAACAAAATTATTGTAAAGGAAAAACAATTTTACATTTATTTATGGGGGTGTGTGCATGAATGTCACAGTGTGCATGTGGAGGATAATGACAGGAGTCGGTTCTCTCCGACCATGTGAGTTCCAGGGACCCAACTGACATTATCAGGCTTGGCAGCAATGCTTTGACTTGGTCAACTATCTCATTATCCCACTATCACAGTTTAAATTGTGTTGTTGTTTATTGTTGTTGTTTTTGAGAAAGGATCTCTCTACACAGTCCTGGATTGCATGGAACTCAAGAGATTTACCTGCCTCTGTCTCCTGAGTGTTGGGATTAAAAGTGTTGGCCACCATGCATCACACAATTTAAAATTACTTTCTGGCTGGGTGGTGGTGGCACACGCCTTTAATCCCAGAACTCTTGAAGCAGAGGCAGGTGGATCTCTGTGAGTTCAAGGCCAGCCTGGTCTATAAATCGAGTTTCAGGACAGCCAGGGCTACAGAGAGAAACCTTGTCTCATATACACTTTTTAAAACATTTTGATTATTATTTTTATGTGTATGGGTGTTTTGTCTGAATGTGTGTCTGTGCCCCACATGTGCGAAATGCCCAGGAAGGCCAGAAGAGGGTGTCATATCCCCCGGGACAGTTGTAGATCCTGGGAACCAAACCTGGGTCCTCTGGAAGAACAGCCAGGAGGAGCTCTTAAGTGTTGAGCCATCTTTCCAGACTAAATTTTTTTTTAAAGTCAGGGTCCCATGTAGCCCAGCTGACCTTATATGTGCTACACGGCTGAGGATGACTTTGAATTCCTGATCTTCCTACCTCTGCTATGCCAGTGTTACATAATGTTACATAATGTTACATAAAACATTAGAGTGTTACCAGCGGGCAGATCTAGGCTGGGTGCTTCCAAGTTCTTGGCTTCATAGTCAAGGGATTAAAATAAAGGGTCACACAGATTGCAAAGTAGTGAGGAAACATTACTTAAAGCAAAGCAATACAGAAGTAAAGATATTCAAGGGCCTGTATTATTCTTTGGAGCATCCTTTTATGGGATTTAAAGAGTTTATTTATTAAGAGACATAGCAAGAGTGAGTTTTGATTGACATATTAGGTCATATAGTCATTCCCACTTGTCTTAGTTTGGGTTTTTATTGCTGTTAAGAGACACCCTGACCACAGCAACTGTAATAAAGAAAACATTTAATTGAGGTAGCTCACTTATGGTTTCAGAGGTTCATCCCACTATCTTCATGACAGGAGCATGAGTGTGTGCAGGCAGATGTGGTACTGGAGCTGAGAGCTGCATCCTGCAGACAACAGGAAGTCAACTGTGACACTCTGGGCAGTATCTTGAACATAAGAAACCTCAAAACCCACACCTACAGTGATACACTTCCTCCTCCAAGGCCATACATACTCCAGTGAAGCCACACCTCATAATAGTGCCACTCCCTACGAAATTATGGGAGCCAATTACATTCAAACTACCACACCACTGCACATGTACCTTCCCATAATGCACCTGATTTAGTCATGTGCACATCAGATTATACATAGGCATACAATGGTAAGTAGGGGACTCTCCCTAACACACATTTTTGCCTTACTGTGAAAGTACTGAAAACCAGTCTCGTCCAGATATGACTTTCCGTTCTTTAGTACTAGGGGATGTATTTAACAGAATGCTTTCAGTCTGATGACTGTCAAGGAAAGGAAATAACATCCTAATGTTCTTAGAGGGGTGCACTGTAGCCTGATGCAAATTGGGGTCCAAGGCTGCATCTCCAAAGTCCAAGGAGCAATTTGTTTACAATAGTGTGGAGGCAAAGGGGAGATGCTGTCAAGTGCACTATCAAAAGTAGGGTGTGTAGGTATCCAAGCCGAAGTCTGTCCAGCTCCACCTCCTGTTCTCATCAGGAGAAGACGAACTCCGTAGTGTTGTCCTCTGACTTCCATGTGCACAGCACGCAGAAGCTGCACTCACGCACACAATGATAATGATGATGGTGATGACTTAAAGAAAACAAGAAAGGGGTTACTTGCAGAGAGAAAAAGAACAGGACAGAAATGGAATGCTAAAGAAACTTCTATTTTAATTATTGAGCATGTGAATTTGTTGTCAATATTTTTAAGTAAATTTTTCAACAGACATGTGGAAGCCTCATCTATCGCAGGGATTTTTTTCATTATCTTTGAGTTTCTGGCCCTTATTTCCTACATAGCTGTGCTTCATAACCATAGAGGTCAGTAGCAAAGACTCACGGTTCCCTCATTTCTGTAGAGGGCAGGCAGAGGAAGGCCATAGCACTCAGCTGTGATATCCTTTTTTATACACTTTCGATTGGCTCTCTCTCCAGAGAGGACAGTCTCAAAAGAATTAATTTCAACCAGAGTAGAAATAAGAGGAATGTGACTCTGGGTTTTCTTTTTCGTGTTCTGAGACTGGTCTCATGGAGGCCCAGGATGGCCTCGAACTCTTCTTGTAGCTGAAAATAAACTTTGAGCTCCTGATCCTCCTGCCTCAGTTTCCCATGGGCTGGGGTTATGGGTGTGTGCTGCTGCAGCTGCCAGAAGTGCTGTGTGACTGGTCCTTGACTTCTTATTAGGGAGGTCCCAGAATTCAGGATTTCCAAGTTGTGAGGAGGGTTAAGTAAGTTAGGATGTGGGGAACAGGTAGAGGGAAGTCAGATATGGCAGGAATGGGTTAAAATGAGGACTCATGGGTACTAAATGGATGCTTCACATTGTGCTGTGCCCTCTGTCCAAGTGAGCATGCCTCCTGAGAGCATTGAAGCCTGGGGGGGGGGGGTACTGTTTTCATGTATGCCTCATAGAAGCACTGAAGGCTGGGGGGAGGATACTGTTTTCATGTATGCCTTGAGATAGCATTGAAGTCTGGTGGGGGACTACTGTTTTCATGTATGATTCTCAATAGCATTGAAGTCTGGGGAAATACTGTTTTCATTTTCAGATAATAAAAGAGACAGCAAAGATCCAAGAAATGTGTTCAGAGTCCCATATGTGCAAAGCCTCTCCTGGACTTTGGGTTCAACACACCTGAGATGAGTCCAAGGACATTATCACAGATGTGGAAAACCTCATAAAGGGAATTAAGGGACAAGACCCTGACTCCTGCCAATCTGTCTTTCTTCTCCTGGACACAAAAGACAGTACTCATTTCAAAGGCTCTAAGTGTATTCTAAGACAATATGAGTGACCAAGTCCTGGGACCAAAATTCAGATTATCCTAAACCACATACTCCACTGTGGGAATAGCTACAGGGTATCTGTATAGTCACAGAGCCAAGGGGGGTCATAAATCAATACTTTACTGAAGACATTGGTGCCAACATTGGGTAGGTGAATTACTGTAAACCAAGGAAATCTCTGCCATGGTTTTCAGATGCTATCTGATGGCATTCTTAGATTTTTGGTTTGGTACAAGTTAGCGATTCGCTACATTAATGAATTCCAGATGGGTGTGGTGAGGCACTTTTAGTCAACACACCTGGGAGACGGAGGTAGGCAGATCTCTCTGGATTCATAGCCAACTAGTCTAGGACAGCAGGGCTACATAGAGAGATCCTGTCTCAAATTAATTAAAAAATAAATTTTCTTACCTGATTGTCAAGAATATTCGGTCAGATATAGAGGTTGGAGATAAATGGCTACTAAAGGAACTAAAAATACTCCAAGATAATTTTCAAAGACATACTTTTGTTATTTTTTAATTTGTGTATATGTAAGTGTGTACAGGTGCTTGTGTAGGAGTGGTTCCTGGGAATTGAACTCAGGTCCTCTGGCCGAGCAGCACATGCCCTAAACCACCGAGTCATCTCTCCAGCCGTCTCCTTCATTTTGGCTGAGAATCTGCTCTAGCCGAATCTCCACCATCAGAAAGTTCTAAAATCAGTCTGTAGAATCTTCACACATGTGGCTTTTTCAGGGGACCTCAAACACCGCTCTTCCCTTCCTTCCCGGTCGAGAAAACGCCCTTACATAATCTGGAGGACAGCAGGAACCAAAACCCGTTACATAATAACAAAGCAAATCTTACTGTTTTAAGCCAGTGCTGGAGCGAGAAGAGAATCTTTACGGTTCTTCGCTAGCCTGATCTGTTGGGACAGTTTATTCCTCCAAACTAGGCGCTCGGAGTGTCCTGTATTGGAGTACTTGCTTTCCCATGAAGGAAAGATTACACTCTCAGCTCCAGATACTTTAATATGAACCCAGGAAAGACACTTAGGAAAGAAAGTACCGGAGGCGGCAAACACCGGATCCAGGGAAGGCTACCGCCTCACGGCTGATTGGCTCGCTTGGCTGCAAGAGCAGCTAAGCCGTCTGCTGGCCACCGAGTGTGATTGGCTACTGGAGCCCCACCCCCTTTCCAATTGGGCAGAATTATGAGACTAAGATTGGTGGAGCTAATGCAACCCAAGCTCCCGGTGTAAGGCAGAGATGGCGACTGCGATCCGGCTGCTGGGGCGACGGGTGTCCAGTTGGAGGCTGCGGCCCTCGCCGCTCGTTGTCTCGCAGCGAGCGAGCTCGATGCTGCCTGTAGACGATGCTATCAACGGGCTAAACGAGGAGCAGAAGCAGGTAGGGAGGCCGGCCCCAAGGCCTCATGTCCCACCCCACGAATGACTTGTGCCTGCCGGGCTTTGGGAGCGTCACTCGGAAGCCAGGGAGAGGGGCTGCTTGCTCCCTGCTCTTAGCTAATGGTCCAGCCTCCAACTCATCCTTATCTCTAATAAGGAAGATTTGATACAGACAGCAAGCAAGGCAGGGCTGCTAGAAGGAGATGGAAGAGTAAGAACCAGAGCTCCCGGGAGACTGGAGGTGTTTGGGTGGGAGGATTGCGTGGCCCTGCCTCTAGTGGCAATCGTGAGTCTGCTCAGACTCCAACGGGTTCTCTCTGTATGTATCGATCCCCTTCCCTGGTCTCTCCATCAGCATAGCCTGGCGTGGCCTGAATCTTGCCTTGTGCTCTATTAATCCGCCTGCTTCTGCCTACAGAGTGGTGGGATTAAAGGCGTGGGCCACCACACCAGGCTTTGTGTTTCTCCATTTATGGTTGAGATTATGGTTAGCCCATAACCAACAAAGCATTGTTTTTTGAGTGGAAGACTTAAGGAATTCTGAAATGCATCCTTAGTTTCCTTTCTTCCCTTCATCGAGGCCTAAAGCACAAAGTTGAACAAGATCTTGAAAGATGTGTTCGAATAGATTGCCTATCCACTCTCATTGCTGGGTTTAAGACTGCTTTCTCTAAACAAAGCCAAAGAATGATTTCCTGGGATGTCTCTGGTCCTAGCAATGTATATATTGAACAATTGCTATAGATTGCCCAATAAGAGTGCTAAGGAGTGATTGCCTCCCACATAGTGTTTCCGAATAGATTATGTACGAGGGCACATGTTGCTATAAATGTCTACCTAGGTGGAAGAAGAGTCTTGAAACCCCAGGCCAGAAGACTGTCATAATCTGGGATTCTAAGGTCCTAGCTTGTTATCCCACTAGTCAGCCCTTCTTAGTGTTGTTTTGTTCCTGAGCTGGTACGTTCTCTATGCCCTAGAAAATAACGATTACATTTCATATCTTTGGGGCAAACATACTTTTAGGGTGTAACTTTTCCAAGGTCGTGTTTTTAAGCATCTGGCATGTTAATGTTCATATGGAGTGTCATTTTTGTCTCCGTACCATCCTATGTGAATAAAGGGATTGGATATTTGCTGGTTAGCTCGTTTGCCTTTTTTATTTATTTTTAGATTTACTTATTTTATGTGTACAAGTGTTTTGCCAGTATGTATGAATGTGCACCATGTGCCTACCTGGTGCTAGCAGAGATTAGAAGAGGGTATCCTACCCCCTGGAATTGGAGTTGTGGATGGTTGTAAGCCTCTGTGCGGGTGCCGGGAATCAAACCTAGGTCATCTGCAAAGGCAGCAAGTCTTAGATAAGATTATCATTGTTGTGATAAAACACCATGACCACAAGCAACTTGGAGTAGAAAGGTTTTATTTGGCTTACACTTCCACATCAAGTTGGGGAGGAAAAGGTTTATTTGACCTACAATTCCACAAGAAAGGAAATCGGGTCAGGAACTCAAACAGGGCAGGAACCTGGAGGCAGGAGCTGACAGAGGTGTTGCTTACTGGCTTGCTCCTCATGACTTGCTCAGCCTGCTTCCTTATAGAACCCAGGACAACCCTCTCCAGGGGTGGCCCCACCCACAATAGACTGGGCCTTCTCACATTGATCACTGATTAAGAAAAAGCCAGTCCACACAGGCAGATCTTTTTTGTTTGTTTGTTTGGTTGGTTGGTTGGTTGGTTGGTTCTCTGTGTAGCTTTGGAGCCTATCCTGGCACTCCCTCTGTAGACCAGGCTGGCCTCGAACTCACAGAGATCATCCTGCCTCTACCTCTGGAGTGCTGGGATTAAATGTGTGTGCCACCACCGCCCGGCCACAGCCTGATTTTATAGAGGCATTTTCTCATTTGAGGCTCCCTTCTCTCTGACTCCCTAAGTCAGAGAGGAGCTAAGGAAGCATAATTCAGTGGAGCCCCTAAGCCTCAACCTGGTACTCCATGGTGAGAGTGCCTGTGGCCTAGCTTCAACCACAGGGACATTGCTCTCAGTGGTGTCTTGGTTTCAGTATCCTCTGTCTCCTTCTTCTCCCTCTAGCTTCGTCAGACTATATCTAAGTTCCTTCATGAGAACCTGGTCCCCAAGGCCCAGGAAATTGACCATAGCAACGAGTTCAAGGACCTGAGAGTGAGTTACAAGGTTAAGGGTGGGGCGGAGGCTTCTGGGGTAGGGGAGAGGGGCCTCCCTGAAAGTATAGCTGCTTTCTCTGAATGGCTTGGTCCTGTTGTTCTGGCCACACATGGACAACTGCCTTCTTGAGACTCTCCCCACTCTGTTCTGTTGACAGGAGTTCTGGAAACAGCTGGGGAGCCTGGGAGTCCTGGGCATCACAGCCCCTGGTGAGTATAGCCTCTTTCCCTAAAGAGAGCTTTCTGTGTTGCCAGCACAGGCAGAAAGGGAAGTGGGCATGATGGCACATTCCTGGAACCCCAACATTTAGGGGCCTGAAACCAGAGGACTTCTGAGATCAAGGCCAGCCTGTGCTACACAGTTAGTTCCAGGCCAGCCTAGGCTACAGGGTGAGATCCTGTTTCAGAAAAACAAAAACAAGGGGCTATAGAGAAGGCTCAAGGTAAGAGCATTTGCTGTGTAAACATGAGGACCAGAGCTCAGAGCTCAGCACTGTTTAAAATCAAGGCCTGTCTCACCCAATGCCTATAATCCCAGAACTGACTTGGGGAGGGGAGCTGAGACCGGAGGCTTGCTGGGGCTTGTTGGGGCTCACTGGCTACTAGTCTAGCCAAAAAACACTTCTAGGTTCGGTGTGAGACCCTACCTCAAAAGGAACAAGGTAAGCCAGGCATGGTGGTGCACGCCTTTAATCCCAGCACTTGGGAAGCAGAACGAGGCATATCTCTGAGTTCGAGACCAGCCTGGTCTACAGAGTGAGTTCCAGGACAGCCAGGTGGGATAGGGGGAGGCTTCACTTCAAGGATGTGGTAACTTGTGACATGTGTAGAGTTTTAGCTGCTTGGGAGGCAGAAGCAGGGCTACACAGAGAAACCCTGTCTCGAAAAACCAAAAAGAAAAAAAAGGGAGACAGGGTAGAGAGTAACAGAAGAGGATTCCTGATATCTTCCTCTGGCCTCCATGCATGTATATACGAGTATGAACTCATATACTCGTGCACATACATCACACATACATACATATACATATGTACATTCATATGCACACACAGAAATTAACAACCAAATGGGAAGAGAAGGGAAAGACCATTCCCCAAGAACTTTTCTTCACCCTTGAACCTGAGGCAGCACCCATTGGCTGAGCCCAGAGAAGACATAATCATTAGTGATGGCAAGAAGGCAGGATCTCTCGACTCCTGACTCTGCTTTTTTCTTTAATTCCATGATAAAGATTTAATGAGAGCCTGGCATCCTATGGGATCTGCATTCTCTACAGACCCCTCTAATGGGGAGTGTAGAAAACTCTAAGTAGGGGCTGGAGATATGGCTCAGTGGATAAGAGCAGTGGCTGTTCTTCCAAAGGACCCAGGTTCAATTCCAGGCACCCACATGGCACCTCACAACTGTCTATAACTCCAAGATCTGACGCTCTCACCAGACATACATGCAAGAAAAATGCCAATGTACATAAGGCAAAAATAAATAAATTTTAAAAAATGAAAAAGAAAACTCTAAGTAACTGTCCTAGTAGATGAGTTTTCCCTCAATGATTCCTGAGCTCTGTCTCACTAGTGGTCTGTAACTGAGAATCTTTTTGGTTTTTCGAGACAAAGTTTCTCTGTGGTTTTGGAGCCTGTCCTGGAACTCGATCAGTAGACTAGGCTGGCCTTGAACTCACAGAGATCTGTCTGCTTCTGCCTCCCGAGTGCTAGGATTAAAGGTGTGCGCCACCATCACCTGGCTCATAACTGGGAATCTTTAGGAAAAGTATGACCCTGAGGGATGACCTAAGTCCTCTGCTCACAGCTTGTCCCCAAATGAAATGGGACTATGAGAGATGTCTGGGTCCTCCGGTAAGGTGGTTACATGATGACTTTGGGTTTTCGTAGGCTCTTGGGTCTGCCCAATATCCCTGTGTGTGCTACAACTTGTTTTGGGGGAAAAGGCAGGGAGCTGATACATTCTGGTTCTGGGTTGCCATGACAGTGAGTGCATAAGCTGTTGGCCCCCGCATTCCTGGGGCATGAGAGCACGATTGACTTTTGTCCTTTCATTCTTTCCTAAACATTCTTTCTTTTTTTATAGATATCTTTTCTTTTTTAGATTTATTTATCTCATATGTATGACTGCGCTAGCTGCATATACAGCTTTATGCCACCATAGATGGTTGTGAGCCACCATGTGGTTGCTGGGAATTGAACTCAGGACCTCTGGAAGAGCAGCCAGTGCTCTTAACCTCTGAGCTAGTTCTCTAGCCTCTTTCTTTCTTTCTTCCTCCCTTTCTTTCTTTTAAGATGGGGTTTTTCTATATAGCCCTGGCTGTCCTGGAACTCCCTCTGCAGACCAGGCTGGCCTCAAACTCAGAGATCCGCCAGCATTTGCCTCCTGGGTGCTGGATTAAAGTGTGTGCCACCACTGCCCGGCAGAGCAACTATTTCTATTCCCATACTTGGAAGGTTAAGGCAGAAAGACTGGAAGCCCAGAGCCAACCTGGGCTACAGAACTAAGATCCTGGCTCACAAAAGGGGTGGCTGGAGAGAGGGCTCCATGGTGAAAAGCACTGGTTGCTCTTGCAAAGGACCCAGGTTCAATTTCCAGCACCTACTGGGTGGCTCACAGCCATCCATTGACTCCAGTTACAGGGGATCTCCTGACAAACAAGGGCACCAGGCATGCAAATGGTACACATACATACATTCAGGCAAACACCCATGTGTGTGCATGAAATAAAATAAATGTAAAAGTATTTAAGGGGGGGAAGGGTGGGATGGAGAGATGGCTCAGAGGTTAAGAGCACCGGCTGGTCTTCCAGAGGTTCTGAGTTCAATTCCCAACAACCACATGGTGGCTCACAACTATCCGTTATGAGATTTGGTGCCCTCTTCTGGTGTGCAGATATACATGGAAGCAGAATGTTGTATACTAAACAAATAAAATCTTTTTTTTTAAAGGGGGCGGGGAGATAATAACTATTTGTATAAAGCATGTACTATTTGCATAATGAGTAATGAGAGGATTTAGAGGATGTGGGCAGGTGTGTATAAATTATATAGCCGTTTTTATTTATATAATATAAAGTATGTGACTGGATTTGGTATTAGAGAAAGGTCTGGAAACCAAGGATATAGGTGTTGTTTTGATGAGTGTTTGTATGTTTCACCTTATACCTTCCTGGAGTAGCACAGGACCCGGTGTTTGAGTTACCCTGGAAAGTCACCTGACATAATGAACTTGACGATTCATTTAAACCATGTCAATGTGAGGGAGTTTCAGGGAGGGCCTATTGGGAACCTCCAAACAAGATTCTCTTTGTGCTTTGATGGTTTATGAACCAGCCCAACATAATATGTTTCTGAATCAGAATATATTTAATGGAGCAAAGAAGCAATTTAAAATCAATGGGCTGAAGCCAGGCTGTGTGGTAAACACATGTAACCCCAGCACTTGAAAGATAGAGGTGGGAAGGTTGGAGGTTGGAGGCCACCCTGAGGTATATGAGACCCCGAGGGAAAGCTGAGTATGTAGCTCAGTTGCTAAAATGCTTTTCCCCAACATGGTGTCTGTGATCGCAGCACTCAGAAGTAAGGCAGGAAGAGCAGAAGTTTGAAAAGAAAAGTGAAAAAAAGAAGCAAAAAAGAAATCTGGGGGCTGGAGTGTAGCTTATTGGCAAGAGTCTGTACTTTACAAGAAGCCCTAGGTTTGTTCTCCAGCACTTCCCTTAAACAGAAATCAGATAAAATCATTTCAAATGGGAACTTGGAAAAGAAAGCAAGGGCTATTGTTTGTACTGGGGATTGAACCTAAGGCCTTGCACATGCCAGACAAGCTTTCTAACATTGAACTATATCCCCACTCCATTTCCTAATGTTTTATCTCGAGACTGGATCTGGCCAAGTTACCCTAGCCGGCCTTGGAACGACCTCCATTGCCAGATAAGACTTGAATGTGTTCCTTCTGGCTCTCGGGTGGCTGAGACATAGGCCTACACCAGCTGAAGGATGGATGAGTCTTAAGAGCCAGACAGGAGTTCTGTTTCCTACTTTCCTTCCTGGAGATCCTTCGGTCAGCGGTCGGCTGTGCTTCCTTTGCTCGCCTGAGGGCAGGCTGTGTGTTCAGACAAGCTTGTTTACCCGGCTTTACACAGCAGCTGCGCTAAGGGACCAGGGGACCCAGACACTTGGAGTTTTTTGGAACAGCTTTCAAGGAAAATGTGCTTTCTTTCTCCTTTCCATTTTCTTTTCTTTTCCTTCTTAATTTTTTGAGAAGGGGCCTCAGATAGCCCAGGCCAGCATTGAGTTTGCTACGTAGCCAAAGATAGCATTAAACTCATGATATTCCCATGTCTGCTTTCCAAAGTCTGAGGTTACAGGTGTGTGCTACTGTTCCTGTCCTGAGAATCTCTCTCTCTTTTTTAAGATTCTTTAAAATTTATGTATCTGTGTGTAAATGCTATCAGTCCCACTTTGTTCCCAAAGCTATGCTATGAAATCTCACATTTGGGGCCAGAGAGATGGCTCAGTGGTTAAGAGCATTTCCTAGTCTTCCAGAGGACCTAAGTTCAGTCCTTGGTATCCACATTATGTAGAGCACAACCAGCTATAACTCTAGCTCTAAGGCAGTGGTTCTCAACCTCCCTAATGCTGTGACCCTTTAATACAGTTCCTCATGCTGTGGTGACCCCACCCCAACCACAAAATTATTTTTGTTGCTACTTCATAACTATAATTTTGCTACCATTGTGAATGGTAATGTAAATGTATTTATGAGATAGGGTTCTCAAAAGGGTCTCAACCCACAAGTTAAGAACCACTCTAGGACTCCAAAACCCTTTTCTGGTCTCTGGGGGCACCCATGCATATGTGTCATAAACACACGGATAGGTAAGTAAAAAAACACTAATAAGTCTTTTTATTTTTATTTATTTATTTACTTATTTATTTTTGGTTTTTCGAGACAGGGTTTCTCTGTGTAGCTTTGGAGCCTATACTGGCACTCGCTCTGGAGACCAGGCTGGCCTCGAACTCACAGAGATCCGCCTGCATCTGCCTCTCGAGTGCTGGGATTAAAGGCGTGCGGCACCACTGCCTGGCCACTAATAAGTCTTTTTAAAATAACCCCCTTCTCGAGGTTTCTGCACATACATTGTCTATAACTGGTTTTGGTATTCTGAACACAGTCCGGTTCCTGCTCACTCCCTTTATGTTTCTTTACCTTCTTTCTTCCTTCATCCGTTTGCTTCTGCCTTCTGTAACTTCTGGAAGAGTGGGTGCTCAGGTTTTTGCTTGTCCTCACTGAAGACATCTGGGATAAAGCCAGAGTTTGCGATGATGGTTTCTGAACTTCAGTTCCCCACCAGCAACAAGCAGAACCAGTTGTATGTCCTTCTAAGCAGAGTCCCTAGCAAACAGCCTACCAGCCTTGCTAGGGGAACTTGGAATGGCTACCAGGGTGTTTCTTTTCTGCCAATTAATGAAAGATTCCTGTCAGCATTCCAATGTAACTTGGATGCCTTTCTGCTTTCCCATACTGTCCTCCTCCCAGTTCAGTATGGCGGCTCTGGCCTGGGCTACCTAGAACATGTGTTGGTGATGGAAGAGATATCCCGGGCTTCTGGAGCAGTGGGACTCAGCTATGGCGCCCACTCCAACCTCTGCGTCAACCAGATTGTCCGCAATGGGAATGAGGCACAGAAAGAGAAGTACCTTCCCAAGGTGAGGAGATGGGGATGACGAAACCCCATGAACTCAACACAGCCACTCAATGACATGCCCTCCCCTTGGTGGGGACCAAGCAGATTTTCATTCTTGTCTTGCTGCCATGAGCCAAATATAATTAAGAAAGTGACTGAGATTGTTTTGAAATACTTAAGTCAAAAAAATTTGGCCAGGGTTGTGGTGACTTGTGACGTGTTGAGGCAGAAGCAGGAGGATCTCAAATCCCAGCTTGGGTGATTTGGCAAGACCCTATCTCAAAAAGCAAACAGGAATCTGCCACCAAGTTTGATAACCTGAGCTTGATACACATGGTGCACACATAAACACAGAGCACAAATAAACAAAAATATAATTTTTTAAAATATAAAGACTGGGAGGGGGTGAGGGGTAGGCTCAATGGTAAATGCCTCTCTATGGTAAATCCCTTGCTTAGCACGCCTGAGACCCTGGAGCCAATCCCAGCACTACCAAAAAGTGGTGGGCGGAGGAGGGAGAGAGGCCTTACAGATACTCCATTTTGCTCTGGAGCAGTGTGGAGGGCAGAATGTGGGCAGGAAGAGGCAGTCCTGGGAGCTGCCTGCAGGGTGTGGTCCCAAGGTCCTAACAAGGTGGCTCTTGGTTTTCCTTGTAGCTGATCAGTGGTGAATTCATCGGAGCCCTGGCCATGAGTGAGCCCAATGCTGGCTCTGATGTTGTCTCCATGAGACTAAAAGCAGAAAAGAAAGGTAAGGCCACTAGGCAGCTGGAGGAGGCAGAGAAACAAACTCGGGGTGAGGGAATAGCGGTTGCCCAGTTGTCTCTGCTGGGTTCCCAGTACCGGTTCTCAGCAGCGGGGCCGCAGTTCTGTGGACTGAACCAGGACAGGAGACTTCAGCAAACAGCCAGCATCCTGCCTCTCCCTTAGGAGATCACTACATTCTGAATGGCAACAAGTTCTGGATCACCAATGGCCCAGATGCTGATGTCCTCGTTGTCTATGCCAAGACAGATTTGTCTGCCGTGCCTGCTTCTCGGGGCATCACAGCCTTCATTGTGGAGAAGGTGAGGGTGGTAGACGTGGTATCAGAGACTTCCAGCTCTGACAGTAGTGACAGATGTAACTCCTTCCGGCTGGTCAAGATTAAGATCATTGTTGTGTGTTCTGCTCCCAGGAGGTGGCCGGCAAGCCAAGACTCAAGAAGATAGCCCCAAAAAATCAAGTCTGGTGCTGGTAGAGTTGCTCAGTGGTAGAGAAGTTAACTGTCTAGCTTGTACAGACCCTGGGTTCAATTTTCAGCACTTAAAAAAAGAGAGAGGGAGAGAGAGACCCAGAGAGACTGAGTCAAGTCTGAAGACAGCAAAGCTGTCCACAGAGTCAAGGAAGAAGAAAATGGAAAAGAAGCCATGAGATATTCTTACTGAGCTGAGCAGGAGCTGTGGGGGAGACTGAGGTGTGGACGGGAATGCAAATGATGATTTAGACACTGTACCTCCAATAGTATGACAAGGACAAGATACATGAAGAGTTAGATTAAAACTCAGTTCCATTTTGGTTTTGATTTTGTTTTAAGCAAACCAGGAACCAGTCAAGGTGACATGCATTTGTAACCTGAGCAGCACTTGACAAACAGAGGCAAGTGTGAGGCTAGCCTGGTCCTTGTGAGGTCCAGGACTATATAGCAAGACTGTCTCAAAAATAAATAAATAAATAAAACGGGAAACAGCAAAGTTTTCAGTGTAGAGAAAAGAAAACCAGTGTGCAGGGCAGGCGGGTGTCGTTTTGTTTTTTAAGATGGGGCCTCATTGTGTAGCACTGGCTGGCCTAGAACTTAACTGTACAGAGCAGGCTTCCCTTGAACTCACAGAGATCTGTCTTCCCCAGCCTCCCAAGTGCTTGGATTAAAGGCATGTGCCCCAGCTTAGAAAAAGTTGGAGACATATAAGTTAAGGGACCAGGTGTTGGCTTCACACCATCTGCCTAGTGATGGTGAAGAAAGAGGGCAGCTGGCACTGAGGCTTGGGGACCCAGCTGCAGGGGAATGCTACAAAGGTGCAAAGGTTGACTGCATGAGGAGGGGGAGGAGCTGGCTAAGATTGCAGTTGAAAAGGCCTGGAGGTAGCAGGGAGCAGCATGTGCCATCGCTCCCCTGGGCACTTGGCAATACCCGTGCATCTGAGTCACCCTGGACAAAGCATGTTGGTGATTGGAGTTGGGGTTCCTTTAGGAACAGGTGGCTACAGAAAAGGGGCAGAGGAATTGGCCCTTTATGTCCCTGGGAGAGTGAGGAGAGCTGGGGACTGAATGTTTCTTTGAGAAAGAACTGCTTCCCTGAGAACTGGGCAGCCTAGGAGCTGGGAACAAAGTTGTGGGGTCTGAAGACTGGAGTTTTGCATCCAGATTGAGAACTTGGGAGTAGATGCGGGCATGCTGGGCAGGTATCAGAATCAGTACCATAAAGTGGATTTTCTCTTTATTAGCCGCCCTGTCAGCAAGCCTAACCAAGACCTCCTTTGGTTTCCTGCAAAGGGTATGCCTGGTTTTAGTACTTCCAAGAAGCTTGACAAGCTGGGCATGAGGGGCTCCAACACCTGCGAGCTAATCTTTGAAGACTGCAAAGTTCCTGGTAAGTGTCCAGAGAATAAGGCAGTCTCTGTCCTGGTTCCTCTGCAAGCTGGGAAAGCCCATCTCACCATTACAGAGGTTCACTGCCATTATGTGTCCTGTGATATGCAGTTTGACTGGGCCTGGAGCTGCTGGACAGCTGTCTGTCCTGGCCTCAGGCCCTGCTGTTGTTTGCTTGCCTGCCTAGATGATGGATGGTGAAAGGTGAGGCCTACCATCCTCTACTGATGCCCCTCAGGCTTCCTTTGCATTTCCTCTGCAGCCAGCATACACTAGTCCGACTTCCTATCACCATTATAAATAACCTGACAGGAACCGGTGCTGAAGGAGGAAGAATTATTTCGGCTCATAGTTTCAGGTGTCAAGTCTATGGTCTGTTGGCTCCATTGCTTCTGTGCCTGTGGTAAGCCAGAGCATGAGGCAGAAGGGCCTACTTAAGTAGGATAAGCAGCAGAGATCAAAGAAGAGGCCAGAGTCCTATTAGACTTTCAAAGATACACATCCCAGTGGCCAGTTTTTCCTGGAGGCCCTGTCTCTGTTTCCATTGTCTCTCATTAATGCCATCAAATTATGAATCCATCATTGGGTTAATCCATTGATTAGGTCAGCCTTCACGATCCAGTCACGTCCCAAACCTCACCTCAGAGCACTGCTGTATTGAGAGCCAAGCCTTTAAGCACAGCAGCCCACAGGGGGCCATTTCGTGTCCAAACCACAACACTCTGAATTACACTCAGTAATGATGTTAAAAGCCCTTCTGAATAAATTGACAGAAGCCAGACTCGATGAAGGAGAGGTAATTTGATTTTGCAGGAATATTTTCTCCCCTGCGCTATAACTGTGAACGTGACACTATGTAACACTTCGAGAGAGCTGAGGACACGATCTGGTCCAGAATTAGGACTGCTCTGTGCATCAGCCATAAACCATCCAGAAACAGTATGCTGTGGTTTTGATGGCATTAATGAGAGACAATGGAAACAGAGACAGGGCCTCCAGGAAAAACTGGCCACTGGGATGTGTATCTTTGAAAGAGTCTCCAGGAAGGAGAATCCATACACCTTTTAGAAAGGAAAGAAATTCATTCACCAGCCTCAAAGGCGGGTTAGGTTGCCAAGTTTCTATATTAAATGTCTGTCCACATCTCCTTATTAGGGGGGTAGGTACTCCTCAGCTTCTGTCACTATCACCCTAACTCATAGACAAAGCCCCTTTCGTGGATGTTGCCGAGAAATGACTGAATGAGTGCACAGCCTCGGGGTGATGAGTTCTCTGATTAAGTAGACATCAGGTGTGGGAACAGTGAAGGGTTGGGGGACTTCTAAACCAATCAGCCTTTCTTCTTTCCCATTCCAGGGAGTGTGGGGTGAGAGAGGACAATCTAACAACTTGGGGCTCTGTAGTGTTGTGGATGGTGTGGGGTCCTGAAAACTCCACTTCCAACTGGAAGTGACAAATTTCATCTTTTCCTCTCACTTGAAACCCTTGTTGAAGATCAGGCAATGTACGTTTGTGCCTTGTGTGACACAGTACCTTTTATATAAGTGAAGAGGCTATGAACAGGCCTCTCTGACTGGCATTTATCTTGGCAGCTGCTAATATCCTGGGCCAAGAGAGTAAGGGTGTCTACGTACTGATGAGCGGGCTGGACCTAGAACGCCTGGTGCTGGCAGGTGGACCCCTTGGGTAAGTGTGAGGGGGCTGGAGGCCTCCTGGGTAAGCATGAAGCTTCACCAGTGTGAGGCTTATGGGAAAGCTTGTGGACCTCTGCATGAGCTCTGGGCAACCTGAGCTCGCCAGCCTTCCCCTGACAGGGAGGGGAAGCACAAAAGAAGCTACTTTGTGGGCTCTCCTGTCTTGAGAATCTCCTCACACAGAGGGAAATATTATGTGACAGGTGGCAGGTGAGGCGTGAGAGAGCAACTCTGGTTAGTCAGAGTGGTTGTGAAACAAGAAGCCCGGGCTGGCTCCTGCCCTCATCATCCACACCCACTTGCTCTCAGAGAAAGGTGCCTGGGAGCTGGGCAGGTGGTGCTGTCGCTGTTCAGGGAGTGACAGCGGGAAGTTTCTCAGGATCCTGCACCTTTTCTCAGGGACTTCAGGTCCTTATCCTCCACCTCAGTTCTCAGGCCTAATCCTCTGACACCTTTTCACCTCACTTGGCAACACCACACACCCATCGTGTCTTTCCTTTTTTCTGACAGGATCATGCAGGCTGTCCTGGACCACACCATTCCCTATCTGCATGTTAGGGAAGCCTTTGGCCAGAAAATCGGCCATTTCCAGGTAAGGGGAATCCGTGCTGAAATATCCTCTCGCTGGGCTAAAGGAGATGAGGTAGTCATGCATTGTGGATTACTGTCCTCTGGCGAAATGAGCCTGAATTGTTACAATGCAGCTCCTTTCACATTCGACCTGGCTTGGGAGGTTCGTTACGTTGTCCTACCTATTCCTATTTGAGATGAATGAACTAGACACTGCCAGGCTGGAGGGTAAAACATGCAGAACATTCGAGTTTAGAAGAAAGGGAACTAGCTGCATTTCTAATCCCACCTTTCTGCCGGGAGAGGCTGCTAGAAGCTGGCCATACAGGAGGCAACTCTCTAGCCTCCTCTTCTAGAGCTGTTTCCATCTCCACTGTCCTAGGCAAGTCCCATCTCTTCTCTGTGTCCCCGTTTCCTCATCCCTGGCTGTCACCTTGTCCTTGCCACTGCTTTTAGTGATTAGAGTGTACCAGCATATTGACCCATGGCCTCCCTTTGTGCCCAGCTGATGCAGGGAAAGATGGCTGACATGTACACCCGCCTCATGGCGTGTCGGCAGTATGTCTACAACGTTGCCAAGGCCTGTGATGAAGGCCACATCATTGGCAAGGTGAGGACCAACCCTGGGGGAAGAAGAGGTCGGTTAGTGGTAATCTATCGGGACAGGTGCCTGTACCTTTGTCTGGACCCTGCTGAGCTAAGCCTCGTCCCACAGGACTGTGCCGGTGTGATTCTGTACACAGCCGAGTGCGCCACACAGGTAGCCCTGGACGGCATTCAGTGTTTAGGTGAGTGGCCCTCACTCTGCATTCCTGGGATCCCTCTCTACTCCTGCTTAAGCTAGCCACAGCCACGCTGATACCCCTAGACTCTATCTGCCCCCAGGGAAGTTTTTGTAATGGTAGTCAGTAAATAAATGGATCTTTTTTGTTTTAAAGGGGGTGGGGCCTGGAGACACAGCTCAGTGGTTAAGAACACTGGCTTCTCTTCCAAAGGACCAGGCTCTATTCCCAGCACCCACCTGACAGCTCACAACCATCTGTAACTGCAGCCCTAGGGGAACCAACACCCTTACGTGGCCTCTGAGAGAGCCAGGCACACATGTGGTGCACAGACAAACACGCTGGCAAAACACCCTATACATAAAATCAATTTTTAAGAGGAAAAAGAAAAAAAAGACTGGGTGGTGGTGGTGAACACCTTTACTCCCCAGCACTCAGGCGGCAGAAGCAGATGAATCTCTGTGAGTTCAAGACCAGCCAGTGAGTTCAAGGTCTACAGAAAGAGTTCCAGAACAGTCATGGCTACACAGAGAGACCCTGCCTCAAAAAAAAGCTACAAGCATTCCTTATCTTCCCTGACTGGTCTAAGGTCACCAGGAAATGGGGACAGAGATGCCTCAGGTGAAGCAGCATCATTTGTAGTTGGCTTAGGTTTGAATCTCATCCCTCTTGACCATGTCTGCTACTCATTCTGTATTTTGTTTTTAAAGTTAGGTCTTGGGTATGTGAGCATGTCATGTAGCTGAAGATGACCTGGAATTTGAAATCCTCCTGCCTCCACCTCCAGAGTACTGGGATTATAGGCATATGCCACCATACCTGGTTTGTGTGTGGTGCTGGAGACTGAATCCAGAACTTTGGGCGTGCTAGGTGGACATTCTACAGTCCACCCAGGTTTGTCCTTTCCTTGTCTGGGTCCTCAGCCCTCTGGAGATCTTCTAGACCAGCTCTGCCATGCCTTCCTGAGCCCATTGCCTCTGCTTCTCTTTGATCAGTCCTTCCTCCAGAGCCTATATATTCTGGGGTTCTTCTGGGTTCAACCAATAATCAAAGATATCCAGAAGAGCCTGGGTATGGGGTGCAAACCTGTAATCCCAGCACTTGGGAAACTGAAGCAAAAGGAGACTGAGACCAACCTGGGCTACATAATAAGTTCTTGGCCAAGCTGGGGTGTAGCTCAGTGTAGTATCCTTGCCAAGCATACACAAAGCCAACACCCCAGCACTGTATTAACCAGGTGGTACACACCTATAATCCCAGAACTCAGGAAGTTAGAGGTAAGAGGATCAGAAGTTCAAGGTCATCTTTGGGGCCAGCCTAGGATACAACAGACCTTGTCTCAAAAAGGAAATGGAAGGAAGGAAGGAAATGTTCAGAAAAGAAAATCTTATCAGTGGCTTGGGATTTTCAAGAACCAGCAAGATGACTCTGTTGCTAAAGGTGCTTGCTGCCAAGCTTGGCAAGCTGAGTCTGGTCCCCAGGGCCCACATGGTGAAAGGAGAAAACTGATACACGTTTCCTCTGACCTCTACATGTGTGTCAAGATATACACGCACACACACAATAATAAATAAATGTAAAACAAAAGGAAAATTGCTCCTGAGCTGAACATGACTTCTTCTCTTGTCCCGATTCCCTAAACATTCCAATATAACAACTATTTAAATGGCACCTATGTCACATTAGATATCTAAAAACCTAGAGATATTTAAAATATGAGCTGGAGTTATAACTCAGTGGTAGAGCATTTGCCTAGTGTGTGTGAAGTCCATACTCAATCCTTAGCACAGAGGGAAGGTGGGAGAGGGAGAGAGAAGAATGGTATTGGGAGAATGCATGTAGGTTATATGGACAGGAACCAATCCCTGATGCTGGGGAATGACTCCTTGGCTCTCTTGGTTTTCCTTGCTGCCTTCAATCCTGTCTTTTCTCTTCCCACATCTGCTTCGCAGGTGGAAATGGCTACATCAATGACTTCCCCATGGGCCGCTTCCTTCGAGATGCCAAACTGTATGAGATCGGAGCTGGGACCAGTGAAGTGAGGCGGCTGATCATTGGCAGAGCGTTCAATGCAGACTTCCGCTAGCCCCGTGGCCTATGGCCCCCTGGTCCTAGCCCCAAGGCCTTTCTTTGGAAGCAGAGGCATGGCAGCCCTCTCACCTGTCCCAGGAAGCTCTACAGCTCAGCCTCCCTCCTCACATCAGCCCTCTGCCCGCATGAGGTCGGAGCA